AGTTGGAGGTGGTGGTGGTGGTAGTTGTAGGTGGTGGTGGTGGTGGTAGTTGGAGGTGGTGGTGATGGTGGTGGTAGTTGGAGGTGGTGGTGGTAGTTGTAGGTGGTGGTGGTGGTGGTGGTAGTTGTAGGTGGAGGTGGTGGTGGTAGTTGGAGGTGGTGGTGGTGGTAGTTGGAGGTGGTGGTGGTGGTAGTTGGAGGTGGTGGTGGTGGTAGTTGGAGGTGGTGGTGGTGGTGGTAGTTGTAGGTGGTGGTGGTGGTGGTAGTTGGAGGTGGTGGTGGTGGTAGTTGGAGGTGGTGGTGGTGGTAGTAGTAGGTGGTGGTGGTGGTAGTTCGAGGTGGTGGTGGTGGTGGTGGATGCGAAAGGGTGAGAGGCGACGGAGAACGGGAAAGGGACGGACGGACGATGCCGGCAGGCGACGCTAATCACGAGTCGCGGGCAGTCGCCGGTGTCCGTAATAAAGTGACGACGTAGTCGCGAAACGTCGTAAGAAAGCGAGGGGTGGTGTGGGGTGTGGGGCTGCGAGACGTAAACCCGGGGTCACGACTGCTCACGACGCTGAGGCACGCGGCGGCGGCGGTGCAGACTGAACAGCAGCAGCAGCAGCGGGCAGCGCCGCGGTGTGCAGAGGCCTGCGGCCACAAGGAGCGCATCGAGGCTGTGTGTCTGTGTCCAATTACCGTGGTCCCCCCCCACACACCCACCACGTCCACCAGGTCCCACAACGCCCCACTATAGCCCCCACACCCATCCCACCACACCCCCAATAGCCCCCCACCTCACCTCCAATAGCCCCCCCCCCGCCCCCACTCATCCACCGCACCCCAGCCCCCCAATAGCCGCCCCCCCCCCCCCCCACAACCCACCCACCACACGCAGTGCCGAGCCTGCCAGCAACAACAGGAACCAACCCCTTCCCATTGAGCGCCCTTTGCCCAGCTCGCTCCCAATTCGCCTCGCAGCAGCAGCAGCGGCAGCAGCAGCAGCAGCGGCGGCAGCAGCAGCAGCAGCTTGGCGGGGCAGCTCTGATTAGGGCGAGAAGCTGTTCCCCTTGGCTCCGAGCCGAGCCTGCTCCGGGCTAGCGGGCATTCCTCAACTTCCACAATCGCTCAGGCATCCTGGGGGGGTGCGTGCGAGGGGGGGGGGGGGGTTCGTCCGTACCTAGGTGCACGCTGTGTCAAAACATCGCCACTCGGGGGGAGACAAAGGCGGACCCGGCGTGGTGTTGGCCGCCCAGCCGCTCACGTGCCCGCCTTCATAGGTGCTCGCTAACAGCACTTGCCCCAACAGTCTGTTAATGCTATAGGAGTGATATTTACACAGCACTTGCCCCAACGGTCTGCTAAGGCTATAGCGGTGATCTTTGTCCATATGCAGCATTTGCCCCAACAGTCTGTTAAGGCTACACTGGGGATCTTTGTCTTTGTACTTCTTGAACGAGTACCTGGTGCCGTGGATAAACGTTAGCATTTGGGGAGACAAAGGCGGACCCGGCGTGGTGCTTGCCGCTCACTCGCTCGTGTGCCGTACCGGCCTTCGTAGGTGCACGCTAACAACACTTGCCCCAACAGCCTGTTAACGGCTATACGGGGCATCTTTGTCTTTGTGCGTGTGTGTGTGTGAGTAGTGGTCAAACTTAAACTATAGAAGTGCCGGTCTGAAAACGAACCGTCCTGTAGTCCACGTGCCCTTGCCCAAAACGTCTCGCCAGGCTATACGGGGGTATTTTGCCTTGTGTGCGAATCCCAGCAAGGTGGCAGAGCGGGGGGCACAGCTGATGGATCTGCCAGTCAACCTGTGACCTCCCGTCCGTCGCGTGACCTCCTGTCAGCGAGCTTTCAACACCTGACGTGACCTTGTCGTGCACCTAGCCTGGCACAAGCTCTGTGGTGACGCCACCGCCACTTGGTGGTGAATGGTGGCTGATGTTGAGTGTGTGCAGTAGACGAAGAACTTCGTGGTGGGCTGGTCGTGGCGGTTGGCGCGCTGCGATACGAGCCTGGCCACCCGAGTTGGATTCCCGCTGAGTGAACGTCGATGACGAATATCTGAACCGGTCCCGGGCCTCTCCCTATAAAGCATCAGCGCTGGGGAGACAAAGGCGACCGGGCGTGGTGCTGGCCAAACAACACCTCGTGTGTTGTTTCGGCCTTCATAGCTGCTCACAAACGACATCTTCCACAAGTCTTTCAAACGCTATATGGGGGATATTTTGTCTTTTTTGTGCGAGTGTCCACTTCAGCATTTGTTTCGTGCTGTGGTTGTCCCACCTGATGACGGACGCTTGTGTTGCGCCCGAAACGTCGTGATTCATTATTTTATTTCTATTATTATTTCTGTCATTTTATTATTTATTTTTATTATTTATTTTAAATTTTTACCTACGTGACTTTACCGAAAAAACCTAAGAGTACGAATGTTAAATTCTCACCAACAGCACTTGCTCCGACAGCCTCCATGGGAGACCTTTGTCTGTGTGTGCAATACGGAAACTTTCCCCATGATAACAATGTGGAATTGGTTTCATTGATTGGAGCACGCAGCTCACATTTAAAAGCTGTCAATCAAAATCCGAGTCTCGGGTCTCCACTCAAATGCGTCACTCCGGCGTAGATAAAAAAAAAACAAATACAGCCCTGCTCATATTCAACAGCATCTCTCCTGCATAGTGCACCTGCCATAGGAATGTGGAATTTCCACCATTGGCTCGTGGCCACCAACGGAGGATGATGACCGCCCGCACAGCTGGTCCGGAGCTCCGACTCGGCAGCAAGACCAGGTTGACCTCTCCCCCCTACCGGGAGGTCAAACTCGGCGGCTGCCAACTCACTGGTCACGCCCGCCGCCGCGAGTCTGCAAGCGGCCTTCTCCCCACCCACCTCCTCGCTATATTTAGCCGACGTTGTTTTGCTGCTGCCCGCCGTTGTGTGCGCATGGCATCCCCCCCCACTCCCCCGCCTCCACCACTACCACCATCATCATCACCGCCCCCGTAGCCCGAGGGACGCGTTCGAACCGGAGACGTTTCACCGTCGACTTGCCGCTGCCTCTTCGCCCGCAGCGCTCTGGTGGCGGCTGCCTCCTCCGTCTCCAATGGGGAGGATCGGTGCGGTGCGGTGCGGTGGAGTTGGGTGCGGTGCGGTGGGGGTTGCAATGTGCGCCTGCTGGACTTGGGAAAGTCCGGAGATGGCCGCTTAGATGCAATCTGACACGCAGCTGTAGTCGTCGTAGGCTTGTGCGACCAGTAACACATTGTCCTGCGGAGGGAGCTGGTAGGAACGTTGGGTTGCTCGGTCAATGGCCAGGGTCAACGGCGGGCGTGGTGTATTCCGCAAATATGCCCGACTGTGAGGGCGGGCACAAGCCGGCGTGAGTAGGTTAAACGTTGAGTTTTATAAGGGCACCACGGGGTGACCAGCCCCTCCCCACCTAGCCCCACCCCTCCCACCCCCCAACCAGCCCTCCCTCCCCACCCAGCCCCTCCCCACCCAGCCCCTCTTCACCCTCCCCACCCAGCTCCTCCCCACCCTCCCATCCTCACCCAGCCCGTCCCTCCACACCCAGCCCCTCCCTGCACGACGGACGGACACAATAATCCCCTGTGGGCTGGTGTAACCAGGAGGTTTCTACCAGTATTATATCCATAATATCGAGTATTTTTTTCGTGGGTTAGATCGCGTAAACTATAAATGTGTCGTTCAACCCGCCACCACCCGACGCGGCCAATCGGCAAGGTTTGTCGTGTAAACAAAAAGTGCCAATTAGTTTCTAGTCCAGCACCCCGGTGTGCCGGAGAGTAAACACACGCACGGGGGATGTGGCGGGTTTAACGACACATTCACAACCAACGCGATCTCACCCCCAAAAAACCCCTTCGACTATAACAGATTCACTCTCCCGGGGCGGCAGCTGAAAGAATTGTCGGGGCAAGTTGCTGAAATCTCACCCTGCTATGGGGACGGGCGCAGGCGCGTAAACACGTGGACCCGCTCCTGCTAACGATGTCGCATGACGTCTGTGGGCCACTGCAGAACTTGAGGCTCGTCGCCCAACGTACAATGCGGAGTATTCATAGAGCGTCATTCCACTTCTTCCGTGGAAGAGTAGGCCAACATTACTCTCGAGAGCTCCCTTCAGTGGAGAGCCTTCCGCCAGCAGTGGAGTGTGCAAGCCATTGCAGGGCTTGCGCCTTTGCTCTTTCATAAAACACAGTGCGGCGTGGTCCAGATGTCTTGTGCCCCCCCCCCCCCCATTTAATTCTCAAAAGTGTCATATATTTGAAGTAAGGTTTATTTAAAACAGAAATGGGGTAAATCGATTGGGGGGGGGGGTCACAGGACGTTTCAATATGGGCAAGAGGCCGTCCATAAATGACGTCATGCGATTTTCGACGATTTTCGACCCCCCCCCCCTCGCCACACGACGTCACAAAAAGTCAGACCCCCCCTCAAATATGACGTCACAAAGCTCTGCCCCCCCCCCCCCCAAAAAAAAAAACATGCTTCAAATCGCTTTAAAATATTGTCATTGTAGTGCGTATTTAATGTTGTAGGAGAAAACATTTATTAAAACGTCTATTTAATTAAGTAGAACGTGTTGTCTATATTTATTTAAAGTTGCGCATTTTGATGTGACATCACATTTCTCACCCCCCCCCCTCGTCACAAATCGTCACAAATGTCTGACCCCCCCCCCCCCCCCCAGGTGCGTGACGTCATTTATGGACGGCCCCCAACACGTGTTTTTTTTAAACCCTTTTGATCGTGTTTCTCCCTTGTGATGGGACTTTGTAGAACGAACGTTGAGATGTATAAAGGCACGTGGTGACCAACGAGCTGTGAATTGGTTTGTACCAGGGCACTGCTAAGGGGTGGACAGGCGTGGATTTTATTCAAAGGCAAACGCGAATGTGGCTCTTGTTGTGCTGTAAAAAAAGTTGCCCACCCCCCATTGCTCTAAGCGTGTTGTTGTGTTGTCAACCCCCCCACCACCACCAGCAGCCTCGCACCTCACCCCGACCGAGTGGAGTCCGGGAGCCGAAGCAGCAGCGACGGCGTCTGCCCTGCCGCTGGGGAGCATCGCAGAGGGCGAGGTGATGTTACAGGTAGAGTACAGGTGATGTTACAGGTAGAGTACAGGTGATGTTACAGGTAGAGTACAGGTGGTGTTACAGGTAGAGTACAGGTGATGTTACAGGTAGAGTACAGGTGGTGTTGCAGGTACAGTACAGGTGATGTTGCAGGTACAGTACAGGTGGTGTTGCAGGTAGAGTACAGGTGGTGTTGCAGGTAGAGTACAGGTGGTGTTACAGGTGCAGGGCAGGTGGTGTTACAGGTAGAGTACAGGTGATGTTACGGGTAGAGTACAGGTGATGTTACAGGTACAGTACAGGTGATGTTGCAGGTAGAGTACAGGTGATATTACAGGTAGAGTACAGGTGGTGTTACAGGTACAGGGCAGGTGGTGTTACAGGTAGAGTACAGGTGGTGTTACAGGTAGAGTACAGGTGGTGTTACAGGTAGAGTGCAGGTGGTGTTACAGGTAGAGTGCAGGTGATGTACAGGTAGAGTACAGGTGGTGTTACAGGTACAGGGCAGGTGGTGTTACAGGTAGAGTACAGGTGGTGTTACAGGTAGAGTACAGGTGATGTTACAGGTAGAGTACAGGTGGTGTTACAGGTACAGGGCAGGTGGTGTTACAGGTAGAGTACAGGTGGTGTTACAGGTAGGGTACAGGTGATGTTGCAGGTAGAGTACAGGTGGTGTTACAGGTAGAGTACAGGTGGTGTTACAGGTAGAGTACAGGTGGTGTTACAGGTACAGTACAGGTGGTGTTACAGGTAGAGTACAGGTGATGTTACAGGTAGAGTACAGGTGGTGTTGCAGGTACAGTACAGGTGATGTTACAGGTAGAGTGCAGGTGGTGTTACAGGTAGAGTACAGGTGGTGTTACAGGTAGAGTGCAGGTGGTGTTACAGGTAGAGTACAGGTGATGTTACAGGTAGAGTACAGGTGGTGTTACAGGTAGAGTACAGGTGGTGTTGCAGGTAGAGTACAGGTGGTGTTACAGGTACAGTGCAGTTGGTGTTACAGGTAGAGTACAGGTGGTGTTACAGGTAGAGTGCAGGTGGTGTTACAGGTACAGTACAGGTGGTGTTACAGGTAGAGTACAGGTGATGTTGCAGGTACAGTACAGGTGATGTTGCAGGTACAGTACAGGTGGTGTTACAGGTAGAGTGCAGGTGATGTTGCAGGTACAGTACAGGTGGTGTTACAGGTAGAGTACAGGTGGTGTTACAGGTAGAGTACAGGTGGTGTTACAGGTAGAGTACAGGTGGTGTTACAGGTAGAGTACAGGTGGTGTTACAAGTAGAGTACAGGTGGTGTTGCAGGTACAGTACAGGTGATTCTAGATTTGAAGCTTTCGTGACTGCAAGGATTCATATTCTTAGGTTTTTTCGGTAAAGTCACGTAGGTAAAATATTTTTAATTAATAAAAGTAAAATGAAACTAAATAAAAAAAATCACGACGTTTCGGAAGCAACACAAGCCTCCGTCTTCAGGTGGAACCGTCACAGCCACGACAGCTCTATCAAGTAAATGAGAGATCACAAGAAATACCACCCCGTATATATAATGGTTGAGGGGGGAAGGGCCAGGAACGGCACACTTTTTATTAATATGGTAAGGTGAGGCTTAAGACTAAGAATAGACAGCATAACAAAGGACTGAGCCTTTGTTATGGAGAGGTGCGGTTTGTAACTAACACCTAGCATACATAACAAAAGTGTGAAAAAAGAAAGCAAGTAAAAACTAAAACTGGTAAAACAAAAAACTGGCTGTCTATCAATAACCTGTAATAGTTGTCTGTCAAATAAGATGGTCCAAATAAGTGTAGTTACATCTTTTTTGCATGGTTAATCACATCTTTCCAATGATTACTCAGTTTGTAACCCTCATCACGGTTGAAATTATGTCTGTGTTTGTATAGTTGTATGGCTTCGTGTACAAACCTTTGATGGTAGCCAGGAGGTTTGCAGAGCACCTTGGTCTCGGAAAAGACAATTTCATGAGAGCCCACAGAGTCGTAGCAATGATCGGCAACAGCCGAAAAATCAGTTCTGCCGTGTTTCAGATCTGACTTGTGCTCGCGGACACGATCAGAAACATGACGTTTCGTTTCTCCAATGTAGCAATCACCACAAATGCAACTCAATTTGTAGACTCCAGGATACTGTAAGTCAGGAACGACATCCTTCACAGATGGAATCAGATCACGGATTTTATGCACTGTACTGAATCGGACTTGGATCTTATGTTTGTTTAGAATTTTGGAGATATTTTTGGTCACGCCTGCTATGTATGGTAACGTGATAGTTTTGGTCGGAGTTTCATGTGGCTGTTTCTGTATGGTGGGAGAAACAGCTTGGCGTATGGTGCGGTCAGAGTATCTGTTCATCCTGAGGGCCCGATGTACATGTCTTAATTCGCCGGCCAGATGGTGTTGGTCAGAAATGCCATGGGCTCTGTGGTATAGCGTTTTGATGAGAGGATTCTTTTGAGATGGGTGGTGGTGGGAATCCGGTTTCTCGAGACACTGGCCTTCCTCAAGAGATGCCGAGATAACAAGGTAATACCCATCGCTTTCACACTCACATCCGCTGCTGTGTCCTTACCGAACTCTAAACAGATCTTATTTAAAGCTAGCCTATCACTAATCTCGGAGAGAATAAGGTTACTCCGATCTGAACTCGATGATTTAGACAAGACTCTCTTACAAACACATTTAATGTTAACACAAAAAATGTCACCTTCCGATTGGAACCACGTTGATAACATGACTTCTGCTTCTGCTGACTCAATGTCAGCCAAATGCAAAGCTAACCTGATTTCTAAATTCAACCTCCTACCCAAAAAGAAACCAGAGCCACACATTACAAAGCTGAATGTTAACAAGACCGTGATTAATCTAAAAACGGTACTGGCCAAAGGACTAAATTTCGCCGTCACCCCTAATATATACCAGTAGAGGATGTCATTTCTCAGATTGATGTAGCCCTCAGAGGCATAGGACACATCCATGCGGATGTAGCAAGAGCTGAAATAGCTACTATTCTTAAGAATGCTAAGAAACCCACTAGTAACATCAGCAAAAACGAACGCTCTGAACTCGCGAACCTAAAAAAGAGAGATGATATAGTCATCTTCTCGGCAGACGAGGGCAATGCCACGGTCATCATGGATAAAGATTCATACAACAACAAAATCCTGGACCTACTTAATGATGGGAGTTACTCCAAAAGTAAAAACGATCCCACTAAAAGCCTAACGACAAAAACCAACAGCATCATCACGAGTTCGACTTCCCTAATCGAACCAAGCAAACGTCCCTCTCTAAAACCATCGGCGGCAAGACCTCCCAGACTCTATGGTCTTCCCAAGATCCATAAAGAAGGCACCCCGCTACGACCCATTGTGTCGACTATAAACTCTCCTACTTACAAACTATCCCGGTTTCTATCAGATACTCTGCTTCCCTTCACAGGCAAGACCTCTTCGGCAGTTCTCAACTCAACCCAATTAGTCTCTATGGTTAAGGACAATGCGCGTGGTTCTCAGTGTGCTTGTTGGGCCCAGAGAAGCCGCGGGACGATTTCGCGGCGTTGAATCGTCGCTGCTGACGGCCGGAGTACGTCCACCGCCACTACCACCACCGCCACCACCACCCCCCCACCCAGCTCCCCCCCCCCAGCCCCCCCCCCCCCCACCAGCTCCCGTGAGCGTGTGGCCGACATTTGGAGCGAGCCAATAATGTTGTTGGTGGGAATGATCATTTACATCTATTTCCACTGGGGGAGGTGGGTGCGAGGTGAGGGGGGGGGGGGTTATTAGGATTTCCTGTGGGGTTGTCTTAATTGTTATTAATGAACAGCTGTTAATGAACTGCCAGACTACAAGTCGAGTGTTTTATGCCCAAATCCCAAGGAATTGCTTCTCGAGACAGAGCGAGGGCCGCTAATTACAAGAGACCTCATTGGTGGACGACACCGGGAGGGGTGGACTACACCGAGAGCAGCTCGGTTGTGTCAGTAGCGACTCACAGAATGCGTGCAGGAGAGTGTGCGTGTGTAAGAGGAGCGGTGGCGCAACGGTTAGCGCGCTGCACTACGAACCCGGCGACCCCAGTTCGATTTGCGCTCACGGCCAATAACGGTGACGACTTTGTGCACCAGTCCTGGGCCAAAGGTCCACTGACACCTAAATGGGTCCCTGCAGTGTTCCAAACATCAGCGCAGGGGATACAAAGGCCGTTGGGCTGGCCACCCACAGCGCCCCTTTGGCGTGCCGTGCCGGCCTTCATCGGTGCTGGGTGAACAGCAGGTTGCCGCGCCAAGCGTTACCGGACTGCTACTGGGGAATCTTTGACCAGAGCCGTGTAACTTTCCGGAGCGCCTTACACCGGCACAATTCGGTGGTCGCATCACCGGGCGAGAGGGCCCAGCGCGCTCCTGCTGCCGGGACACCCTTGACCCAGGCGCCGCCGTGGAGACGAAATGGGCGGAACGCGCGAGACGTTGACGTTCGGAGGGAGGGAGTCGGGAGTGAGAGACGGGTTTGCCGTACGGACGTGGAACATCTTTCGCACCCGGCGTGGCCAGTCGTGCTAATCGGAGGTTGCAGAAGAAGTGTCTGCGTCTGTGTGCGTGTGTGCGTATGTGCGTATGTGCGTGTGTGTGTGTGCGTGTGTGCGTGTGTGTGTGCGTGTGTGCGTGTGTGTGTGCGTGTGTGCGTGTGTGTGTGTGCGTGTGTGTGTGTGCGTGTGTGTGTATGTGTGTGTGTGCGTGTGTGTGTGCGTGTGTGTGTATGTGCGTGTGTGTGTGTGCGTGTGTGTGTGCGTGTGTGTGTGTGTGCGTATGTATGTGTGCGTATGTGCGTGTGCGTGTGTGTTTACTATTTAACTCCATCAAAAAAATAACCTGCAGCGCCACACCTATTACCATCATTATGGGAAAAAACGGTGATCCAATCTCCGACCCCCAGGAACAGGTTTGCAGATTTGCTGAACATTTCTGTGAGGTCCTGGGGGAGGGAAAATCCCTCAGCC